ATTTGATTCATCCTATTGGGCTGTCAGGTGTTTGCGTGTTCCTTCCACTTATTTTCTTTCCCTGCTCTGACTGTCAGAGCATATTTCCCGTTACTCCTGCTGTTTATCACAGGGGCCCTGGCTGTGTTTTTTGAAGGCAAATAACAAACTTGCTTTGCAGTGTTTGTTTTTTAAGGGGTTTAGTCTTGGATATGTAGAAGACAGGAGACAGTGCACAGCAAAGCGAATTGGCTGGCTGGGAATTACCTGGTGCTGATGAAAATTTTCCCAGGGAAAGAGTTTTTTGCACCTTTGCCAGGAATCAGCTGTGTTCTGTGAGGAGATTAATAGCTCTTAAAAGTAGGAGGGACTGTTATGACTGCTTAGTCTGATCTCCTGCAGAGCGCAGGATGGAGAACAACTTCTGCTTTGGGTCCATGACTTGAGTGTTAAAACAAGAGTGTCTTTCAGCCAGTACAGTCAGCCCAAATCTATTCCCTCTGCTGCAGTGTTTTGGCTGGTCCTGACCTCCTCTGTGCCTTGCCACCTGATGGAGCCAGGCCGTGGGGTTTGTTACCCAGCCCTCCATCTCCGCACAGCCTCCTGTGGTCCTTTGTGGCTGGACACTGCTCTCACTGTGTTACGTCTGAGGTGCTGAAAGAGGCATGAAAAGATTTTGCAGGGCCACTCTTAAGAGGTGAAACACACTGGCCATGGACCCCGTGCCTGTGGTGGAGGCTCCTCCAGCCCCACACCTGTCATGGAAGCAGGAGGTTGGATGGGACACGTCAGAGGGCAGCTCCCAGAGCAGCAGCTTTGCCGTGGGCTGGGGTTGCAACCAGAATCTTAACACCCTTCATGTGGCCTTAATCCTCATGGGGTGAGGATGGGGGGTGAGGAGCCCAAGATGGTGGCTGTTGGCTCATCCCGTGTGCCAGAGCAGCTCAACCCTGGCTTAGCAGCAGCACAGCACTTTGAAATCAATTTTTTCCCCTCTATCTTCAGCTTTTGAAGCAGCTGAGTTATGCTTGGATTCTATTCGCAACCTTTTGTTCAAAACTATGCAGAACTCCTGGCTTGTTTTTTAAGAATTTTACATCTGTGGGTGTTTCAGGACGAAGAAGCAGCCGTCCACAGGGCTGCCAGTGGTTCAGGGCATCAGGAACCTCCACGAGGGCTGTCCAGAGCATGGCAGCTGTGGATATGGCTGCTGTTAGGAGCAGGAAAATGGATGCCATGGAAGAAGGCAATCCTGCAGTGCAGGCTGCAACAAGCTCCTTGTCCAGGTCACTTTGCTGGAGCTGGACAGCTGGGACAAGGAGCAGCTAACAGCTTGGTGAGGCTGCAGTTTGCCTTTTGTTTCTACGAAGGAACAGAACTCATTTATAAGGAGTTTGGGCAGCTGGATTGCGGCTGCTGCAGAGCTGGGTTGTTTCTTACAGAAAAATTCCCTGCAGAAAGGATGAGAAACTTTATTAGCAGTGGGAGGCAATGCTTGGTGCTTGCAAACACTGTGGCCCACAGGATTAAGTCAGAAAGGTGCAGGGACTGGAGCAGGAACAAGGCAAACATGGGATCTGCTGCTGGCTCCTGCACAGACTCACTGGGGACCTTGGCTGAGTCCCTTCTCCCCCTTCTGTTCCCGTTTGTATAAGCATGAGTGTCTGTGGCTTTTGTAAAATGCTCCAGGAGCAAAAATGGAGATGCATTGAAGACAGTGACCAGCTGCTTAGAATGAATAGAGTCTTTGTGGGGGGTATTCTTTTTTTTCTTTTTTTTCTTCCTTGTTTTAGCTCCCAGTTATTTGTTCTTCCCCAGGGCTTTCGGGATGGGACGGCGGTTAAACAAATGGCAGGACTGTCTTCCATAGCTTACGTGCCATCGAGCATTATCTAAATTTTATGCCTCTTCTGAGCCTTTGTTTTACAAAAAGAAGTCACTGAGCTGGCAGCTCCGTCCCCTTTTGGCTATGGAGGCAGGAGCTGATACCACCCAGCAGGACCAGGAAGTGCCAGGCTGCTGCAGGATGTGTTGTGCTGCAAAGGAGAGCCAAGGTCACCAAATCATTATCTCTGGCTGTTGGCAACCACCATGGAGTGCAGTGTTCCCGTGCTTACAGAGCTCTGACTCCTTCCCCTCTGGTTGGTGTTTGTGCTGACATAGGGGTTTGCTCAGCTTAGGCTTGCTGGGTCCATTGGCAAATGCAATGAGCTCTTAGCTGGGGCTCCTGCAAGGACCTTTAGTGCTCAGGGGTTGTTTTGGGGTGGTTGAGGACAAAATAGGGCCGATTGGCTCGATAAAAAAGAAATGACTAAGGATAAAAATCCTGAGCTCTCCTTCCATGAGCATCCGAGGGTTCGTTAGAAAACTCCACGTGTTGTTGCTGCTCCCTGCAGTGCTGCTCGCCTTCTTTTCCAACTCTCAAGCTGTTTGCATGTGTGACTCTGAGCAGATCATCCCAACCTCGTGCCTCAGTTTCCCAATTGCAGTGTGGGGACACTGACACTGTCCCTTTGTGACAGGAGGATGGAAGATGCTGTTGGTGCATGGCTGGCTGTGTGTTCTCTGGCATTTCTGCTCTGTTAGAACCTTGCTCTTGCAGGACTCCCTGAGTTTTGTGGGATAGACCTAAGAATCCTTTAAAAAATAAGAGTTGTGTTGTTGGTTGTTGTTGTTTTGCAGAAAGAGGAGTCTGCTTGCTTGTGGGATGACCTCACACTGGTCCTGTCCTAGGCATGCAGCTCTGTTTCTCAGTATGGTCAATAAGGGAACCTTGAGGATTCAGCAGTGACTGCTTAGAAGAAATCTTGCAAACGTGTGCCAGGCATGTGAAGGTCAGAACCGCTCAGAGCAGCCTTGCACAGGGATTCTCTTAGCAAAACACGTGTGAACATGAACTACCTGCATCCAGGCTGCTCTCGTTCTCAGAGACACGCTGCTTGTTCTCTTCATTATTCAGCTCCACATCCCAGGACAGCTTAAAGGCTGTAAGATTTTAGCTGGTGTTTTGTGCTGTGCTGTTGTTTACTGGGGAATCAGGTTCCTGGGTGAGCAGCCATATCAAGTGCAGGGAACGCTTTGCAAGTTTAATGAGGCAGGAGGTAGGTGTGCGGAAGCTGCTGGCTGGTTCCCCTCCTTGCATTACAAATTCAGGAGCACAGGAGCTATTTTGAGCCTTGCTTTAGTCAGCATCCTCTTCCATTTGAATAAGTGGAGACCCAGGCTTGGCTTTTTTTGGCCCATCTCTAGTAGTGATGCACAGAACTAGGAGTGTGTGGCTGTGATGGGGTTCACCTCTCCTTTTCTGTTTTCAGTCCTAACACCTCGGTGCTGCAAGTCTTTTTTTTTTTTTCCTAAGTTTTTCCCTGCACTGCTCAGACGTGTGCCTGCAGGGTCCTCTTTCTTCATCCTGGGACAAAGCAGGAATTCCTTTGCACAGAAAACCCTATCTTGCAGAGGTGACAGCATGGCCTCACTGCACACTGGGTTGCTCTTTGTGTCAATGAAAGTCTCTGTTCTTTCCCAGCCTGTGCTGTTGCTGGTCTCTGGAACTGTGTTACCATCAACCCACTGAACATAGCAGCCGGCGTGTGGATGATGTAAGTGAAGTTTCTGTTCTTTGTTTCCACTGGGAGGGAGGTTCTGTCCATTGGGCTCTATGAAGTGAGGCACGGGGAGCTGGCGTGAAATGCTGCTGTCTGTGAATTGCTGAGTCTTGTTTGACTAACTGGGTGGAGACAGGGTTGGTTTTTTTTATTCATAGCCCTCTTCCCCACCCCTTTTGTGGCTGGAACCTGGGATCGAGGTTTGGGAATTATCAAGATTGGGAGAGAATGAAGCAGGTTCCAGCCCTGCCACACGCTTCTGCCCACTCTGGAGCATCAGTGGGGCTGGGGGCTGGCTGACCCCACTCCGGGCAGCACTAACTCTCATGTGCTTTCCCTGAAGGCTCAACGCCTTCATCCTGTTCCTGTGTGAGGCTCCATTCTGCTGCCAGTTCATCGAGTTCGCCAACGCCGTGTCTGCGAGGGCAGATAAGCTGCGGGCCTGGCAGAAAGCTGCTTTCTACTGCGGGTGAGGATGCTGCCAGGGCTGGGCGTGCTGGGTGTGTGGGGTGCTGTGTCCCCATGCCACCTCAGGGCTGCCTCTCTCTTCCAGGATGGCTGTGTTCCCTGTCATGCTCAGCCTGACGCTCACCACGCTCTTTGGAAATGCCATTGCATTTGCGACTGGGGTGCTGTATGGCCTGTCAGCTCTTGGCAAGAAGTAAGAAAGATTTGCTTGCTTGGGGAGGGGACTTCCAGCCCTGCCCCATTTGCTGCTCCAGCTGTAGGGAAGGCTGTGCTTTCCTCTTGTATCAACCATGCTTTTGGGTGTGAATGCTGCTGCAGGGTATGTCCCTGCTGGCGTGCTTTCTCTTCAAACAAAACCCCATGAAAGAAGACTGGGGGTCTGCTGAACCTTTGAGCATTTCCTTTGGAGCTCAGTGTAGCTTGCCTTAGGAAAACCTTCATGTCCCAACCAGGGTGAGGCTGGGGAGGGCTAGCAAGTCTCATTTCATTCCTGTTGTCACTTGGTATTGAAAGGCCTTGGCGCAAGCTGGGAGACATTTATACTGTGTGCTGCACAGATCTGATAGGTGCCTGGTGCTCATGTCACCCTGACATCCCTTCTCTCTGCAGGGGAGATGCCATTTCCTACGCTCGGATCCACCAGCAGCAGAAGCAAATGGATGAAGAGAAGCTCACGGGGTGCCTGGAGGGACAGGCTCTGTGAAGTGCATGAGCCCTGGTTGACCTTTTGGACCCTGAGATGGTGGTGAAGACTTGGAAACCCACTCTGCCCTCCCATCTGCCCACCCCCTCTCTGCCACTCCACGATTTCTCTGGACACTACAGCAACAACTGGAGCTCTCAGGGCTGGGGTGGGCTGTGCCCCCCTCACACACCAGCACTTGGACCTCAGTGCTTTGGCTGCTCCCTCCTCCTGCCTACTCAGAACCAAATATCTCATGGTCCTTCTCTTTCTTTCTTTCTTTCGGCAGAGATGCTGGCCCTTTGAGTGCTGCTGTATAAGCCTAAATACGTAGCCTTTCTCTGTTTTGATGCCCATCACATTTTGCTGGGGACTGTGTGTGGGCAGCACATTCTCTGAGGACTGCCCTTGGAGCTCCTTGGCTCCAGAGGTCTCATGCCCAGGGTGCTGCTGCACATGACATGTAATGCATCACACTCTGGTGTGGCTCATTCCGGGCATAAAACAAGAAGCAGTGTTTAGCAGTACCTGCTGATGCTTGCACTTGGTGTTTTTCATCATGCAGGTTTTAATATGGGTCCGGTTAGGTCGGACATTGGAGGCATCTCTGCACAGTAAAGGACTTCCAGCAAAAAAAAAAACCACGCATAAACACAGTGATGCCTCCAGAGGAGAGAAGCACAGTCTGCCCTTTCTCTGGATACAGCTTCAGGCAGATAATGCAATTTACTTGAATTATAAGCATTAATTATGTAGTCTTAATAAGGGTACTTCAGCTTCACTCTTTTATTGGGAAAGAAGAGAAGCAAAGCTGAAAAAGGATTGCGTTGCTTGAGGCAAACGGAGGCTGTTTGCAGGTGGGATGGTTGCTGATGTACAAGTGAGTCCCCTCTGAGCCCAGACAGACACTGCTCTGTTCTCTCACTTCCTGTGTCTGCTCCTGCAGTCTGTTCTGAGCGTGAGACCTGCCCTTGGCTTCTGTCTGTACAGCCTTTCTCATCGGGCTCATGCTTTTTTGCATCAGTCCCGGGCTGGTTTTGTATGGGAAGGAGGCAAATCCTTGCTTTGCAAACAGGAAAATCCCATTTTTGTGGGGTGCTGCTTTGTTCCACGCACCATCAGCAGTGCTGCCTTTGGATTCTGTTTGCTTTGTTTGAGGCAGAATAGAACTGCTCATCGGGTCCAGGTCCCCCAGCTCTCATCACAGTTTCTTCTGGGGGATGGGAGGGGAGGGATTAATTTATTTGTTTTTACGTGATGGCCATCTGTTTTACTTAGGAAAAGGGAGAATAATTTATTTCTACTTATTTACGTATTTTGATGAGACTCATCAGAGTGCATCATCTCATTTCAGGGGTCTCTGGAAAGCGTGCTGTCCTTTGATCCCTTTGTCTGATTGCAGTGACAGGAGATGGCTCTCCTTGCTGGGCCTGGTGCTCAGTGGAAGTAGGCAGCAGCTCTGACCCCATGCCTGCTGCCTGCTCACACCTCAGGATCCCCTTTGTGTTACTGGGGTGCTGGGGGGGCAGGGGGGTCACACTGCAGTTCAGGAAAACTGCTGCTGGAGGGCACTGGTGCATGTGGGCATTGCAGCAGGAGCAATGCTGTCCCTGGAGGCCCGGGGGTTAAGCTGTCAGCGAGTGCTCCTTGTTGGTTCTTTGCTGGAGTTCAAGGAGGTGTGAAGATTTGCACCAGGCAGGAATCTGGTGTGTGTTGATTTGCACGCACAGGGCCTTGCTGGGCAGCTGCTTTGTGCTAAGCCCTTTCCCCCCGGGCCTCTGTGCTGTAGTTGCTCTGACACCAGCTTGTCTGGGGCACAGAACTGCCAGCCTAGATTAATAAGTTTTGCTGTTCCAGAGCCTCCCAGCTCTTGGCTGGTCCTTTGGCTGTGTGCAGTATGCGGGGTGTTGGCTTTCTGTCTGTGTGTGTGTGCAGGGACTGCAACCTGCCATGCTGCCTTTGCTATGAAGGCACTGCAGGGACCCCTGCTAGTGGCCAAGGCCTCTCTGCTCCTTGCATCCACGTGCAGCATCGTGGAGTGGTTGCAGAGCAGCACCCTGCCCCATGAGTAGAGCACCCACATTTGATTTCAGGGGGTTTTCAGTAGTTTAGTAGCATTTGGTAGAGGAACATTGCAGACAGAGGCAGCAGTATCAGGGTGAGCACAACTGTACTGGGTGCTCCTGTTGGAACTGTTGCTGGCTGTGGTGCAGCAGAACACAAACTAGATGCTGCTCTTGCTGTGGCCACAGCCTGGTGGAGTCTGCATGCTGCACCCATGGCTTTCAGGAGTGGTAGAGTGTTAGTGGATGTTCTCTCCTCAGTGTGGGTGAGAGATTTGTTTTTGTGGCAATAGGAAGACTTTTAGACTAGTAGTATCACAGTAGTTAATGTGCCCATTCACAGTGCATGGTGGTTATTAGTTGTGTTTAGAGGCACCAGCTTGGAGCTGTGCAAGAGTGGGAAGTGAAAAGCACCACTGTAGTGATCTGATAGGCTCAGCTCAGTCGGTGCATCTAAGGGGCATCCATGGATGAGGTTCTGCTTGCCAGGTCTCAGAGAGGCCTTTGAGGGGAGGATGGGACAGAATTTTTGTTACGTGAGACCTCAGGAGCAGGTGATACATTGACTGCAGTGAGTATGGAAAGACAGCTGGGTACTGGCAGTAAATGTGCACTCAGAAATGGGCTGTTACACCGTTCCTGTCTGAGCTGTGCACTTCTCTTACCAAGCACATTTATACAGCGTGCAACTGCTCCATTTGGTCACAAAAAGTGCTGCACTTGTGCATATGTGCTCCAGGTTCCCCAGGGGCTCTCCACTGGGCATGCAAAGAGCAGAACCTCTCGTTCTGCTGTATGCCCACACCTTGCTGCTCTAAGCAGCAGCTGATTTTGTAAGAGCAAACTGATCCTCTGTGTGTGCAGTGAATAAAAAGACCATTCTACCTCTGGAAAGAGCCACTGTGATTTCTCACTCCAAATGCAGCAAAACCCCTCAGACTTTCTGTATGGAAGAAAGAAGGTCACTCAGCAAATACTTCTCCAACGAGGTTCTCTCAGGACCTGGAGAGCCCAACCTCGATTCATATTTGGGCATTTCCTCCTTTGGCCCTGGGAAGCTCAATTCATCTTTGTCATTTTTTCTTTTTCTTCAGGAAAAAACATCCACTGTCTGCAGGGAAAGGTTTCACTGAAGTAAGGATATCAAGACCTGGTCCATAGCCATGTGAGGAGGAGAATGCTGTAGGACAGGGCTGCCAGAGAGCCTGATCTGCTGAAGGTCAGTGGAAACCAGAGGCTCTTGAGATGTCAGGCCATGCTTAGAAACAGTCATGCTCCAGCCAGGTCTGGACATCTTTCTGGAAAGATCTCAGCTGCAAAGGTTGAGTTTAATACTGAAAATTCTGTGTTTTGATTTTGGCCCATCTCTCTTCCTCTGTCCTTGGCTGCTTTAAATTAATCCTCTGATAAAGCACATCTTCTCTTAGGTGAGATGCACCTCCTGCTGCAGGGGATCTAAAAGTAGTTAGTAGTTCCTGAGATCTCAGTTACATACTCTGCACTGCCTCCTGATTCCTTGGCAGGAAGGGAGGATACAAGCTTATCCACAACTCTCAGCTTGCCCTGAGCATTTCAGCAGGCTGACAAGTGCTTGGGCAGATGATCTCTAGGCTCAGGGCACGTTGTTATGTCTTTCTGCCCCTCTGGGGAGAGCCAGGTCAGGCAATTCTCAGCAAGGCCAGTTGTTCCTTACAGCCATAACCACCTCTTGCACTGTGCTTTACTTAAAATAAGACCTTAACCACGCAGGACATCAGGAAAGGGGTAAGAGCAATTTGCTACTAACTATGCAGCTGAAATCTCAAAGTGATGGAGGTGGAGGCTCTACACACAGTTGTGATGGAGGCACATCCACCTTCCTTCTTTGTAAAACCCTGGGGAGGGAAGGACCTGCCCCACTACAAAGCATTGTCTGTACCAACTGTGTCTTTCCTGCAGGGAATCACTTGCACTACAGCTGAATGTCTGTCTGTTCCCAGTCTTTGTGCTTTGTCCTGAGTTTTCTTTGTGAACTGTGGTTGGTCTTGTTCATTAGGCTTCTAGTGTAACGTGTTTTTAGAGCAATAAAATGTGGCAGCTTTTTATACAAAGTATTGGGCTCTGCCTTTTTGAAGACTTCAAGCAGTGAGACTCACCTGGGAGGCAGCAGGATGCTGTGATCCCCCCTCACAGCCCTTATCTGCCTCTCCCATCCCACCTGCAGCTCTTCTCTGCAATTCAAAGCAACATCTTGTAGTTGGAGGCAAAACAGTTTTATTCTTGCAACTACATGCTGGGTGCTTGCCAGAACAGCAGCAGCTGTTAACTCTGTTCCAGCCAAAGCCTGGGGCTCTTGGGCTGCTTGGGTGGCTCTGTGTCCACAGCCACACCTTGTATTTTCCAGGACAACTTTACATCCAGCCTGGTGCTGGTTATGTGGTCCTATACCTCATGCTGCTGTGCTGCCTGGAGAGCCATACATAGTGCTGACTGACTTGGGATGAGAATATCTTCAAAGCTTCAGCTGGCAATTTCAACATCCAAAGCAATACAGTCATTGCTGCCTGTTGTCTCCCCTTTGTGGGGGAGCACCATCTTTGCAAAGATCTCCAGGGTCCACCTCTATCAGCACAACGCTTTTCTTTCTAGCCCTTGAGCACATGGCCTGGTGCAGCCAGCAGCTCCTATCTCCTGAACGACCTCAAGAATGACTTCCGACCGGTCCTGAAGAAGGCTTCAATCTGTTCCAGGGATCTCCGTTTGGTTTCTGGAACGCAACAGCCTGTGAATAAAATATTCCCAGCGCAGATAACAGCAAAGAATAGGAATGGCACTTCGAGGCCAAAGGACTCCTGGAAAGCAGGACAGAAAGCAGACATGAGCTGGTGCAAGGGACTCCAAAGAAGAGATCCTGGGTGCCTCTAGGGCTGTACTCACCACAACCCCAAGGAAGAGCTGGGTCAGGGCAAAGGCTGTCAGCCAGCTCACGACGACACAGAGGCCGGATGCCACCCCACGGGCTTTCAGAGGGAGGATTTCTGACATCAGCAGCCAGGTGATGGGCCCCCAGCCCATGGCATAGCCTGCAGGGGACAAAGTCATGAGGCTTCAGAGCCCATTAGATGAGCACAGCACAATCCCACCTTGATCAGTCCATCATTATTCCCCACCATACACACTCCACCCATCCTGAAAGTGACTTCAGATGCCCTCTTAGCCTGCCAGGGAGGTCTATGTCCCTTCCAACTCCAAGCCCAGATCTCTTTCTTCCTTATCTTGTCCAAGAGGTGAAACATGCCCCGAGGCTCATACCCAGCCCTGGGCTCTTGCTCTGTGCACCTACCCATTATGAAGAACATGGCAGCCAGGAGGGGGATGAGGGTGATGTAGTGGATGGGCTCAGCAGGAGGGCTGGCAAGGCTCCCCAGGGTCCTGTTGGCGATGGTGCTGTTCTCAGAAGATGGCACAAAGTGGATGTAGAGCCCCATGGTCAGGTTGGAGGCCAACATGACTCCAGCTGTGGAGAAATGACACAGCACAGAAGGATGAAAGGGAGAGCAAACTGTGTGACGGTTCTGGATGTGATGCTCTGGAGCTGAGCCTCTGCCAAAGGAAAAACACCGTTCCACAGTCCTGCATGGTGGAAGTCTCCACTCCTGCACGTTTACAAAGCCAATGGAAATCCTTGGAGAAAAGATTCTCTTGCACACCCTGAGAGAGACATACCCGACACAAAGAGAAGGATCTTCCTCCCAGCTTTATCCATTGACACAGCAGCAATTGCCACTGAGAACAGCCGTACCAGGCCCACGAGAGCTGCATCGTACTCTGGTTTCTGCAACAGCAAAAGTGATGGGGAAGCTGAGATGGGAGACCTGCCAACCAGGTGCTTCAAAACAGGCTGCAGGGTCGGGATCTTGGATCTTGGATCTACATGGGACGTAGCAGACATCTCTGCTGACAGGGCACTGGGCTGCACCAGGGGCTCACCAGGATGACAGCCATTTTCTTGAATATTGGCTGCAGGTACACGAGGACACAGGTGACACCAGAGAGCTGCTGCAGGAACCTCATCCCCACAGCAATCAGGATGGGCTTGTAGATGAAGGGATCCTTGATCTCAGCACAGGAAATCCGCTGGCTCTGGTGAGGGGACAAAGCCAGAAAGCTGATACATTAGCACAGCTTCAACACACAAAAAGCAGCTCAGAAGCTGCCCGAAGCAGGCTGGGTTTTTCCATTTTCCTATCTCATGCTGGAGGTGAGTCTGGTCCTCACCTGCTTCCTCACGCTGTCCTTAATCTGCTCGTACTCCTGGGCATAATCTGTGTCCCTGCCCCTCAGCCAGCACAGCGAGCGCAGGGCCTCATCCTCCTTCCCCTGGGAGAGCAGGAAGCGGGGCGAGTTGGGCATGAAGCAGAGCAGGAGGATCATGGTGAGCACAGGCACTTCCCCTGCCACGGCCAGCCAGCGCCAGTCCAGGAGCAGCCCTGCAGGAGCCAGGTTGGTTGAGAGGAGAATCATAGAATCACTGAGGTTGCAAAAAACCTCTAAGATCATCAAGTCCAGACCCAACCCCCATCACAGCCACTAAATTTGTCCCCAGTTGCCACATCTCCATGGTTCTTGAATGCCTCCAGAGATGGTGACTTCACCACTTCCCTGTGCTAGTGAGGGAACGATCCTGCCTTCCCACTGCACACCCAGATACTTGCCCAGGGCATAGAGGATGAGGGAGCCCAGCACTGCCATGATCTGAGGACACGTGCCCAGCATGCCTCGCACCCCAGGGTGGGAGATCTCAGAGATGTAGACCTGGAGCAGGACAGCACACACTTAGCTGATCTACAGCACACAGCCAGAATGAACAGAACCTCCCTGCAGGCGTCTCGCAGTCACACAGCTCAGCTGGGGAATCCCAAGCTGGAACACACATCCTTAGGGAGGGGGACACAGAGGGGCTGTTTCTGGCAGTGGGACAGGGAAGCTCTGCAGCACCCATCCCTGCCCCAGTGTGGGAGGAGTGCTCAAACTCCAATGACTGGAAAGGCACAGCCGAGAGTTGCTCAATCTTTGCCTTCCTCTCTGTATGTGACATGAGGTCAAAGTCTGGTAAAAAGGGAGGAAACAACTCTGTGGAGGAACAGAGCAAGGAACAAGCACCTGCCTGCCTTCCACTTTTTGTGGTCCAGAAAAGCCCAGCAGGATGAGGACAGATGTGCTGCGAGACCACTACCGTTGGGCATCCTCCCCAACCCCTCTAGCACCCCCATCCCCTACAGCACAGCCACAGCCCTGAAACTCTGCTGATGCCTCCGAAGCAGAATGAGATCCCAAGCTCAGCTCCACCTCGCCTCCCATCACACAAACTCTTAGGACACATACCGGGATGGAAGCAGCCGTCACACCACCAGCATAGCCTGTAAGTACGCGGCCCAGCAGCAGCATCTCGATGCCCTGAGCACTGGCCATCAGTGCATATCCCACGGCGGAGGGCACAGCTGAGAACATGATGCTGAGCTTGCGGCCCATGTGGTCATTGAGGAGCATGGCGCTGAGCCCCCCTGCTGCCGCCCCCAGCATGAACACAGACTGCAGGGAGACACAGAGGGGCTTTGGTGGAGCCTGGCTCTATCTGTATCTCCCCCCAGTGGAGACGGTCCCGCACCTCACCCCAAACCAGGATGCTCTGTAGCGATCCAGCCTCAGCGCAGGGTTGGGGTGAGCCTCCAGGGCAGGGATCACAGGTGAGGGGTAAACCAGGGCGAAGCCAAAGCTGAAATTCCCCAGCACGGCAGAAAACACTGCCATGTAGAGCCGCTTGTTGTTGAGGCTCCTGGAGGTGGGCAGAGCAAGAAGGATGTGTTGGACACCTCTATGGCACTCGATGAAAACTCCAGCTCACTCTTTTGCAGCTTTCCCCCATGGATGCATTTCAGTCGAGCCATCTGGTTCTCAGCCAGTTCAACAAACAGAAAAGCAGAAGCTGGAAGCGGGCAGCACTGCGGCCCCAGAGAGCTCCCTGCCACCACCCCACAGCAGCACCCTGTGCCCCACATTCCCATGGCTCTCCCAGACAGATCCCAGCACCGTGAGCCTCGCACATGATGAGCTCCCTCTCACCACAACCACAGGGTCACAGCCCACCTTCAGCTCCCAAATCCCAGATCGAGGTTCATGGTCACCCCACATCCAGCCCCACAGCCGGGCACTTACTGCAGGTACTCCTTGGTCAGCCCCCTTCTGATGCTCTCAGGGAAGGTGTGGTATGAGGAGCTTGACCTCCTCACCAGCGGCTCCCGCACGCTTGGCTCCATGGCGGTGGCCACGCAGCTGGTGCCTGTTGTGGTGTGCTCAGTGCCTGCTGTGGTGAAGGCACTGCTGTGCTCAGAGCCGGATGCTCGAGGAGGTTTCAGGGGCCTGAGAGGAAGAAGCAACTGAAAGCGAAAGGGGAGAGGCCACCCAGTGTTGCTTAATCAGGAAAATCTGTGTCTCGTGAGCTCATACCCAGATAAATTTTGGAGTGGGAACTGGGCTGGGGTAGAGAGGCAGATTGGGGTGATGGTGCTCTGCATGTCTTCACCATGCATCTGGCAGTGTCCCTCCTGGGCAGGAAAAAGACACCAAAACTGAGCATTTATGGGCTGATCCCTGCAGGAACTGTTCACCCGAAAGTCCCTTTGCTGAGGCCATGGCACTCCCCTTGAGGAACCGGCAACAGCTGAGGGTTGCTTCTTTTTGCTGGTGTGATTTACATCCATTGGAGCTGCCCTTGGAAGGTTTTACAATATATAACAGAAGGACCAAAAACAGATGGAGGTGAACCCAGGGGATGTGTGAGAGTAGCTGAGGCAATGATGAGTGCTGATGGGGATGGAGCAGGGAGGGCAGCTCTGGCACATTGGGAGCAGCTGCTGGGGGCTGGCAGTGCCCCCCTGCCCTGAGACCTGCAGCAGCACAGCGCTGGAGTAGCCGTGGTTCCTGAGGGCTGCGTGGTCCAGGCTCGCTCTGTAGGAGAGAGGGGTGAGTATTGGCTTTCTGCACTGATTTCTACACCTTAAGTCCACATGGGAACTCTAGTGGTGGTTCAGGAGCTTGCTGCCTCAGCTCAGAGCATTTTCCCTCCCTGCTCTCTGCTTCCCATTCTCCAACAACCAAGCTTTGCATTTAGTGCCTGACCAATGCTGGGGATTCACAGCTGACTCAGCCACTCGAGACTGTGAATTCCCTGCAGCAAGAAAGGTCATATAGAGGAGGTGGGGGTACTGAGACAGTAGGACAGCTCATCCCAAAATTTCCAGGGCTGTGTTGGTCTTCACAGGGCTGCCACAGTGGTTTCCACTGAGCGTGGGATGCTGTCAGCTGCAGCTGACCTGGGCCTGCTCCCCTCCGTTTGCAAACACTGTCAGTCATTGCTGTTGCATGCATGGTGGTAATGCTCTGTGCAAGGCTGTGGTCCTTCACAGGACTGTGGGGGTTAGGAAGTGCTGCTGGTTGCACCATGCAGACTGTGGCAAATCTGCAAGTGCTGCTTTCATGTGCTAACTTAATGACCAGGTTTCCCCCCACACAGCCCTGTTTGTGCTCTCTGCTGTTTGGAGCTCTCAGAGCTATGCAGTGTAATGAGGCTGGCAGTGATGGGATGGGGCTGGGACCCCCTCAGGCTTGGGGGTGCAAGGCACCTCCTGGCCAGGTGGCTGCTGCTTGTGGTTACTGCAGAGCTCGTTTAGGATGTGGTGTCTGTCCTAAGCCTGAACCACTTGGACAGAGGAAAGAGAGGAATGCTCAAGCCAACCTCCTCTCTTCTATCTGGGGCAAAAAAAAAGCACGTTGGAGAGGAGCCCTGAAGCAGTCGGATCTCTGAAAGGCGAAGTGCTATCCAGTTGCTGTGCAGATTTGTCAACTGCTTCAAGCAGGAAATTACTTCGTGTCTTGAAAACCCTCCAAGCACCTGTAACGCTGCGAGCACGGGGGAGCTGCTGTCTGCTGGCCTGGACTCGGCGAACCGGGGCTGAGCTGCTGGGCAGGGCCTGTCCCTCAATGTCCTTAGAGATGGGGGTCCCTTGGTGATGTGTTAGGAGTCCTGAGTTTGTGTTTGGTTGAGCAATGCATGCAGCATTGATTGCATCTCTGTGACCCTCCCTGCATTTCTATAGGTCCTACCAAAGCGCAACAAGGATGAAAGAAGGTGCTGATGGGTTCTGTGTTTGGCCATGGCATGGGGAGGGGGGGCTCCAAGTCCTCAAGGGTGGCATGGAGAGGGATGAGGGGTCCGTGCTGTGCCAGCAGTGCCAGGGTTGTGTGAAGGGTGATCTGGTGCTGCTGAGAGCTGCTGGCTGCTCGGCTGCAGCGATGCATTGCTCCGATTCAATGGGATCTTCCTCCCCCCTCTGACAGCTGTGCGATCGATCACGACTGTGTGCAAAAAAATAAACTGCATCAAAGCCACTTGGCAACTTGATTAACCAGGTTCATAAATTAATTTCTATCCCTTTTGTAAGGGAGAAATCAGTCACTCCTCGAGGAGATCCATCTCCATCATTCAACCAGCTGCATCCCTTCGTAAATCTTCCCTGTAAGTCTGGGCTGGTGATTGCTGGGTGAGTATTTGGGGGAGCATTGGTGCGATGTGGAGTTATGGTAGTGAATGGGATCTGTGCAAAACGTGGGTGAATGGCATTTGTGGGCTCCAAGAGCTGTGCTGGGGTCCTGGAGGGAGGTGGGGAGGGGGATTTTTGGGGTCAGCACTGTGCCCCATGGAGCCTTCCAGGCTCAAGTTTGAGGGCTTTTCAACATGGGGTCCTGTGCATCTTGCTCCAAATGTGCATTGGTGTCTGCAGCCCCAGCAGGGCTCTTCCAAGCAGACAGATAGAAGTCTGCTCTTCTCTACTCTATCCTTCACCACGCTCCCCCCGTCCCCTCCCCCCCCCTTCAGAAAAAATATCAGCACCTTCTCAGGCTGCCATCTGTTTATTTGGTTGGACTCAGAACTTGCTGAAATGTCTTTCAATGGATGAAGCAACGGAGAGTAGAAGAACAGAGCCTGGCAGGCTGCTTGGTGAGTGGAAAATAATTTTTTGGGACATTCTGGAGTTTGAAACCCTGATGATGGATGTGCATGCAAGAGATGGTAATGGCTTTGTAAGTATCAAAACACAGAGCAAGAGAATAACTCTGCCTAATAGACTGAGGAATGGATGCTGGGCAGGATCTGCTCCGCTCTGACACAGCTGGATGATGGAGTGCTGTGGGCTCGGGAGTTAAACACTGCATTTGTTTAATGTGTTGGAAAAAAAAAAACAGGATAAGTAGTTTTGAAAAATATTACATGCTCACTATGAATGTGTTGGAAAATCATAGCATCGTTAAGGTTGGAAAAGACCTCTAAAATCACCACGTCCAAATGTTAACCCATCACCAGCACATCCAAGCTCACAGATTGTAGGGTTTGGGGGTTTTGCTGGTTGCTGCACCAAGGAAAGGCTTTGCTGATCCCACTCCTTTTTAACGGGGTTTTGGTTTCCCACTTCCAACCTGGCTGATGTGGAAGCAGGGCTGAGCTGGCAGATGTGGGTGATGCTCAGCACGGGTGCTGCCTTTTATCCACATCCTTACTGAGAGCAGAATAGGGGCACAGGCTGCCCAGGGACCACAGAGACGTGGCACTGAGGGAGGTGGCAGTGGGATTTGGTGGGGTGGCTTTGGGGATCTGAGAGGACTTTTCCAACCTTTGTGTCTCTGTGATTCTTTGGGGTGTTTTTTTTTTCCTGCTTTATGGGTTTTTCTCTGGGTTAATCCAGCACAACTCCTGGAACAGGTGGAAGTGAGATAGCAGATAACAGGGCTGCAGGAGTGTCTGCATGGCAGGTTTTTGGGATTGGATGTCTTCCCTCCCAACACCTGGTGGCTTTGTCCAGCTGCAGCCTTGGGAGGATGCTCTGCCTGTGTTTGGCTCATGTCCATGGGGACTGAAAATGAAAAACAACAAGAAGAGAAAACTTGCTGTCAGCAATACTCTGTATATCCAGAGCTGTGCTAGGGAAACACCAAGCTTGATACCCTGTGTTGGCTGAGAGGCAATGAGATTAAGGAAAGCATAACTTCCATAAAGAATTTTTTTAAAGGTATGTGTGCATAATGTATATGTGTATGTATTTATACATAAAGCTTTTAGGTATCCAATTTAATTCACTGAGCTGCTCTGATGGATTCTGAAGTGGTGCCCATTGTGGGGCCACCATTTGGGGTTTTTGGAGACCCTTCCCTTGCCTGTGGGCATCTTGGGCTGAGCATTTTGGAATGAAGCTGCTCTCTCTGATGGCACGGGCTGCGTTTCGTTATTCTTTAGGATACAAATCTCCCCCTAAATTCCTGAGAGCTGCTGCCTGCTCTTTCCTTGGCCGTGTGCATTTTTTTTTTTTCCCCGTTTAATACAATTTTTTTTTTTTAAAGGGCAAAACAAAACAGATCATTTCCTCGATTTAATGTGAGCCAATTATGGCTCATGGGCTGTTAACTTCATCACCGCTTCTTCCAAGAAAGACGTTGGGTAAAATGAACCAGCACAGCTCCGCGTGCGCCCGGCAAAGCCTCAGCCCTGGCGATTTATCCCCGCGGATGGAAAAAAGCTAAAGCCTATGTCACACAAATGCCCTCTAAAGTATCCAACCACTTGTTGTACATCTGCTGACGGATACCAACTGGAAAGGAGATTAGCGCTCAGACTCCCGCGCTGGGCTGTCTGCTCCTCATAATGAGGACCAGATTGCAGCCCCCGCCGGCGCTGCACCTCCAGCGGATGGCGGGATGGGGAGGTGCCAGGGCGCGTGCCAGCAGCGTGGGACCTTGTGGGCTGCAGGATGGGGCTGGGTGCTGCTGGGACCTGCAGTGGGGCTGGGGGTGGCTGGGGATGCTCACAGGATTGCAGGAGCTGCGCTTGGCCCTCTGCACGTTCACCCCAACTTGGGTGCGATGGCATTTCCAGATGAACCATTGCATCCCTCCAATCTGGATGCCACCAGCTTGGGGCCAGCACTCAGCTGGGGTGATGTCCCACAGCAGCATCACATGGGATGCATTACCTCTCGTCCCGCATGCTATCTCCCACCTTTCTTCTCCTCTGGAATTAAAGTGCTTTATGGCACTAAAAGCAATGGGGGCTATGCCCAGGGCTGTCCCCAGCTGTCCCGCATCCCAAACCACCTCCACCTACTGGGGGCTGTGAGCAGCACGGCGCTGTGCCCGCCGCCGTCTCCTGAAGTGCTCCGTCTGCTGGCTGGGGGCCAGTGCAGGAATGTTAACGTTTTTCTGTGGCTAATTCGGGGCCGTGGGCAGGACCCGGCTCTGGCTCTTGTTTTATTTTATGTTTCTTTTCAGCAGCTGTTGAATTGAAAATTAAGATGTGCTGGGACCTAATCCCA